CAACTTCAATTTTTCAAATGGCTAATAATTCAAGAATTGGCCTATTTTTGTTCCAAGCATATTCCACTTTCATGGCTACACAATCCTACATTTTCTATATGTACCAGCAACAGAGCACCACAACTTGTTCCCTCACAGATTTTGGATTCTTCTTCACTATTCTACTCAATTTTCTACAGCTAAAATATCAAGGCAATAACAACACTGATCCTTTTTCGACTCATCCGAAAACCATGAGAGTTTCTGTCACTTCTTTGGTCCTATACTGTTTAATATACGCTATTAAGCTGATTTTTTCTCGTCATTATATGTACAGGAAATTCTCCGACCATGTTATGATTTTCTTTAGTTCTCTATCTTTGGCTTCCACAGCCTCTGTTCTCTTCCCGGACTCTGTTTCCCCTGTTTTGTATTTCCTCTGTTTTCTGCTTTCTGGAGGTGAAATGCTACTTTGGGTTTTCGAGAAAATTATGGAAAAATTGGAAGAAGAAGAAGAACGGTATTTTGAGAGAAGGAGGATGAGTGGTGAACCAATTTGGAACTATCTAAGAAGGAGGGCAAATATGATTGTTTATCCAATGGAACAGAGGTTCACTCTTACTGTCTAATTTTGCAAGATACTTATGTTTATTTCTCATTCTCTGTACTTCATACTATGTTTATTTCTCATGTTGCTTCAAGATTTCAGTTGTAATACTAAGTTAGATGCATACCATGCATGTCTTCGGACCTCGAATAAACTTAAATTTTGAATTTTGAATTTATGAATTCTAAATTTTAAAAAAGGCAATTTAATCCAACCGAAACTATCTATTTATTGCTTCTTCGACAAGTAAAAATGAACGGGAGATAAATAATAAAGACAAACCAAAATTTGAAGGAAATCTTAAAAGCTCTAAAAACAAGATTTTGAAGGAAAATAATATATTTCCCTAGCAAATTTGAGTTCATTCATGAAAAAACATTTTCACCAAGAATAGTGTCGAATATCTTCCAAAGTGCAATGAAATTAATCCCTCCAATTAATTTTACTTGTCATGTTTTCCTTTTACAAATTCCTTAAAAATTATTGTTAAAAAGTAATTTGCTTATAGCATCTTTATTTGTTTATTTATTTATTTATTTATTTATTTTTATCTCAATTTAATAATAATTTGTATGTACAAACTGAACTCATTGATCCTTTTGACCTTTTATCCATTCACTCTCGCATGAAATCTAAAAAAACAAAACAAAAAGGATTAGGTCTTTTTTACAAGTACTAGCAATTAATATTAACAGAACTTTTATCACACAAAATACTTCATTACTATATTATAACCGCCAAACTTTCTATAGCTCTAGTTTATTTAAATTTTATCTTTTTTTCTCCTAAGTTTTATGTTCAATCAAACACTTTTACGTAAATTATGATAGCAAAAAATATGTATTTTTACTCTAATTTATGAGTCTCTATGCTAAGTTGTTAACTAAAAAAATGTCCAATTCAAATCAAAATCAAATCAAATTATCAGTTTTTTTACGATAAAAATCAAAATCATATCAAATAAAATATTGTCGATTTTAAAAATTCAAAAACCAAACAAAATCAAATGTTTCTTTTAAGTCGGCTTGATTTGATTTGTGTTTCAGTTTTATTTTTCACCAAACCGTGGATACATCTAATTATAAATATTCGCTATTTTGTTTCTTATATATGATCTTATCCATATATTATATTGTAGATTCATCTATAATGACCAAGGTCGTTTTAAAAAGAAAATTTCTATGATTAGTGCAAACTCTTATCTTTGGTTGATATTGTTAACCTGTTTGATTGTCAAGAAACACGGCCAAATACATCATACTTCTGAAAATTGTTAATTTAACAAGTACTACTAATCAAATATGTGTATTAATTAAACATTGGTTAATTGATAAAAGTGCATGTAAATATATATATATATGCTTTCCCTTTAGTGGTTCTTTGAAAGTTTTATTGTTTTAAAATACAAGACCTACTTACCGATTAAGAAGTTACGGGTAGTCATCATCTTGTTTAATTAATACGTAAGATAGTTTAACCAGTGTAATTATCATTCTTTTATCTTTTTCCTCAAAAATAAGTTTTTATGTTACTTCGTAAGATTATTAATACAACATTTATCATAAAAATTTATGTATATTTATTTTACAAGCGATTTAATAAGGTAAATTTTAATCTACACAACTTAAAACTCTTAATTGTGTGGCCGGATATATTTCATCTGTTTTAATTTATTTGTTCTTTTTTAAATATTAGATATAAAAATTTAAGAAAATAAATAAGATTTTTTTAAATTTTGTGATCTTTAATTATATTTCAAATTTAGTAAAATTTTAATCTTGTTGTTTTAAATATGTAAGTTGAAATTAGAGTTGCAATGTTCTTTTAAAAATTGGTTTAAAAAAAAAGCGGCAACATAGTTCTTCGACTATATATTTTTCCCAAGTTCTTTTCCCCTTGCAAAGAAGACACTTTTCCTTCGCGAAGAAATAATAATGGTGAATTTATTTAATCACAGGGATTACAGTTTAATTTAATTTGTTTTAAAAATAAATTTGTTAAGTTTAAGGTGAAAGGATAAAAACTAACATCTTTTGTTATAAAGATCAGTTCAATTAAGTGAAATATTTTAAGGACTAAAATAAACTTCTTTATTATATATTAAAGACCATTTTAATCAAATGAAATATATTAAGGATCAGAATAAAATTAGAATCGGAATAATCTGATTCTAATATTGATACCAAAAATCAGATGAGGGGAAAAAAACTTCTTAGAATTGGATGGATGTGGCCCCTCTTGGATGGTAAAGTTGAAAAAAAGAGAACTGAAGTCCCAACTTTGACAACTTTTTATTCAATATAAGTAACCATAAGATGTAAATATGGAAATTTATAAAAATTTAGACAAATTGTTTCTCTCTCTATATATATACACATTATTAAATCAACTGCTAATTGTATCTTCATCATCACTCCCTTTTATTTCATTTTGTCTCTTAACTTCAATTTTTTCTATGGCTAATAATTCAAGAATTGGCCTATTTTCGTTCCAAGCACATTCCACTTTTATGGCTACACAATCCTACATTTTCTATATGTACCAGGAACAGTTAGATACGTATCATGCATGTCTTCGGACTTTTGAATTTATGAAATTTGAATCCTAAAAAATGTAATTTACTATGTCCTTGATGCTACGGAGGCGAAAGATTACAAGAATAATAATGATTATAAATATAGATGTTATCTTCATAAATTATCATTTAACTAAACTTGACTTTTATAAAATCACATGTTTAAACCTTAATCCAACAGAAACTATCTATTTATTACTTCTTCGACAAGTAAAAATGAACAAGAGATAACAAAGACGAATCAAATTAAAAAAAAAACTCTATTGACCCTTTTGGCTCTCCCTTATTAGCAACTAACGAATGGAGTAACGCGTTTTGGCAAACATATTCCAAAGAGAGTCCACGGGCTAAAATCCCATTAAATTTATTTGTTTCTCTACTTACCTATACAAAACATAGCTATACAATCATTTATAATTTGATCATTTAATGAAGATAAATTTAGGATTTGGAGTTTCTAAAATATTATAATAATTTTCAATTTTTATATAATAGTGATTTAGTTTACAATCAATTATTATAAACAAGAGTGTTGATGATTCAATTTGGATTATTTTTTTTAATCGAAATCAAATCAATTCAGTTGATTTTTTAAAATTTTAAAACAAATCAAATAAAAACCATAGATTTAGTTTAGTTTTTTCTTTTTTTTTATAATAAGATGTTCACGATTTGGTGAAAAATAAAACTAAAACACAAATCAAATCAAGCTGACTAAAAAAGTCCAAAACTCACTTACCGATTAAGATGTTACGGTTAGATGGTTAGTCATTGTCTTATTTTTAAGGTTCCTAATTTTTAATTCATAATGCATAAGATAATCATTCTTTTGTTTTTTTTCTTAGAAAAAATAAGTTTTTATGTTGTTTCGTAAGATAATTACTACAAATTTTTATAGTATTCAAAATTTATTAATCAAAATTCATACGCATAAAGAAATAGTGAATAACCTTATTTTGATAACCCGTAATAATTATATACAAAAATTTCATTATCGACAACTAATTAAAATTCATTAAAAGAAGGTCCTATATTTCCATAAAACATTCAAGATTCTAATAATTTCAAATGATTATAATTATCATCGAAAAAAATAAAATTCTCAACCTAAATAGCTTATGGAGAAAGTACATTTAATTTTCAAAATTCTTTTTAATTTTCAAATTCAAATATTGCAAGTTTTAATTATTCACATTTAATTTAGGTTCATACATTCCTATATAAATTTTCATCACTTAGGAGTTTTAAATCTTTTAAAGTACTTGATTTTCGTATACTTTTATTTTTCTTTAAAAAAAGTAAAGAAAAAATAACAATTTAAGAAAAAATTAATTCTCTCTGTATATATTTCTAAAAAGGGAAAAGGGACGGATTTACCCACGAACTTTAATAAATGGTACGTCTATGCCCTCCGTTATACTTTCCATCCACATAAGCCCCTGCCGTCCAATTATAGGTACACACATACCCCTCTCACTAACGGCCCCCTTATTTTTTACGCGTGTCTTAAATCTAACCAACTACCCGTTTGACCTTTCTTTTTAACCCATAAACCAACTACCCGCCCCATAAACCCAATACCCACCCAACTTGGTTAAATTGGAATATCCCCCAGAAGGATGGATAAAATACAATATAGATGACACATCTAGAGGTAATCCAGGTTTATGTTCATATGCCTATTGTCTAAGAAATGAAATAGTTGAAGGAGCAAGTATTGAGAATGCTACAAACACAGAGGCAGAAGCGAAACCGATACTAGCAACCAGCAAACATTGTAAACAAATGAATCTCAATCAAGCAATCATTCAAATAGATTCTATGCTTCTAAACAAAGTGTTAACAGGAGAATGGGCGGTACCATGGAGCAATCGGTACATTCTGTTTGATTTGATCTTCCTTGTGTTTCTGAAACAACCAAAATCTTTGGAATTCTGGGTTCTTTTTGTTATTCATTTTCATTTTCATTTTCATTTCACGAGACGAATTTGAAGATGATGACGTCGATGTTGGTGAAGTAGGCAGAGGAACAATCGGAGGAATTTGGAAATTTGTTCGAGCTTTTGAACCTCTCAACCACCTCGCCGCCGCGTCGTACGCACGCGCTGCCTCCTCCGGCGTGTAAAATGTACCCAGCCAGTGTCTGCACCGCCCTATACGGTCGCGAATCTCCGCTGACCATCTCCCCCATGGCCTCTTTCTCACTCCTCTGTAACTCTTCTCCACTGATGGAACATTATTATTATTATTCCTCTTTTCTGCAGGACACGTGCGTTTCAGAATTGAAACTGCTGAATTTGGATCATCACTCTTGTTTTCATTGTTATTGTAACCGAAAAGAACATGTTCTCCAACAACAACAGCAATTCCTTCAAGAACATGGGATTTTTCATTTTCATTTTCATTAGCAAAAACAGAGTAATTATCCCAAAATGGGTCGAGGGAATAATTAGTGTTGTCAATGGAGAAATTATGATTTGGTTCATTTGGGTAATAAAGGGGTTTTTGTGTAGAGAAGAAGAATAGGATATATCTTAGAGGAAATTGGGTGGGTATTGGGTTTATGGGTTAAAAAGAAAGGTCAAACGGGTAGTTGATTAGATTTAAGACACGTGTAAAAAATGAGGGGGCCGTTAGTGAGAGGGGTATGTGTGTACCTATAATTGGACGGCAGGGGCTTATGTGGACGGAAAGTATAACGGAGGGCATAGACATACCATTTATTAAAGTTCGGGGGTAAATCCGTCCCTTTTTCCTTCTAAAAAATATGATGTTTCTTTGTATATCTTTAATAAATCAAATTACATGTATATTTTTTTAATACTTTTTGTCTTTATTTTTTCCTCACCTTTTCTGACTACCTTGTCTTTAAAAAATTGTCAAAATATATGTTCTTACTTCTTTTTCAACTTCTTAATAAGAAAGATAAGTAATAAAATATAATATTATATAGTTTCAACATAAGAAAATAAAACAAAATATTAAAATAGCACATAAAATATATTGTAGAATATGAAGAGGTATCTATATATATATATATAATAAGCCACAATGCAACTATCATTGTAACTATCTTGTTAGCTTTCAACCAAAAGCTAACAAGATTTTTAGTTACATATTTATTATTTAGTTAAATAATAAATCTGTCATTGTATGAGCTATTTATTACTCATTCCTTTTGAATTTGTTAATCTGATTTTGATCTGACACATAGTTTACGAAAGTAAATTAGATTTTGAGAAAAAACATTAAGTGATACTTGAAGTTGTCCCAGATTTTCAAAAAGACACCTTAACTTTGCGTGCATCCTATTACCCCACAAAATATTCAAAATCACAATAAATACACATTTTTTACACAATATTTCAGCTTTGGACAAAAATATCCTTCGAATGTGTAATTTCTTAAAAACAAAAAGTCGGACCCATTATTGATGTATTGAAGGATGCTTTGGTAATTTCCTATGATGAATTCGTTTCGTTTGTTTCTTTTAAATTTATTTTACTATACTAAATAATTGTATAAAATATTATGAATCACGATAATTAATTACTTAAATATTTAAAAGATATAAAAATATATAAAAGATCTGATTGACTCTTCAAATTTTACCGGTGACACATAAATTGGGACAAATGAAATAATATATATTATTTGAAAATTTCTTAGAAAGTATTATAAATTACAGTAATTAACAGCTAGAAATATTTCAAAGACAAAAAAAAATTGATTGAATCTCAAATTTTTTTTAGTACTACATAAATTGAGAAAGAAGAAATAACCTCTATTATTTGAAAATGGCGCAAAAGTATTACAAATCATACAATAAGAATTAACAATTTAAATTTTTAAAAGACTTTCATGCTTTATACTTATTCTATTTCCACTTTGGACAAAAATATCCTCCCAATATGCATATTTTTTAAAACAAAAAGTGAGACCCATTATTGATGTATTCAAGGATGGTTTGGTAATTTTTCTATGATGAATTCGTTTTGTTTGTTGTTTAATTTTTTAAAAATAATTGTATAAAATATTATAAATCACAATAATTATTTACTTAAATATTCAAAAGATATAAAAATATGTAAAAGATTTGATTAACTCTTCAAATTTTATCGGTGACACATAAATTGGACAAATGAAATAATATATATTATTTGAAAATTACTTAGAAAGTACAATAATTTACAGTAATTAACAATAGAATATTTTAAAGACAAAAAAATTTGATTGAATCTCAGAATTTTATTAGTACCACATAAATTGAGAAAGAAGAAATAACCTTTGTTATTTCAAAATTGCGTAAAAGATATTACAAATCATACAACAATAATTAGCAATTTAGAATGTTAAAAGACATAAAAATTTTTTTTTACCATAGTTAACAATAATTAAAAATTTAAACTATTTAAAATTAATATTAAAGTTTAATTAACTCTTTAATTTTGTCTTTGTCACATAAATTGAAACAAAAAATGATACATATTGGGCTCGTGCTAACACGGGCTCCGATGTCTAAGTACATACATAGAGATGAAAGCAAAGTCCCAATGGGGTGAATGTATATTGTTGCTCTTTCTCTTTGCCTTTTTCAACTTTTTGTGTTTTTTTTTTCGTCTTTCAAATTTGTCGAAATCTTTTTAAAATTTGAAGGGGCAGATTACATGGACATAATTGTTACTCATTTCACTCCTATTTACTTGACAGGTTACGTTTCTACGCTATACAAAAAGAGATGTTGCTACGACAACGTCCTTTTAACTGTAGCATCTCAATTCCACTCACCTTGCTCCACTTGTCATTTCAGGATTTGAAACCACTTTTTAGTTATAACTTGGGCTTACAACAATCCCTTAAATTTATCAGTATATTTCATTAAAAATATGAATTACGATTTGTTTCTATAAAGATATGACACTTGACCTGACTCAATCTTAAAAGTTTGCTCTGTCTCAAGTGGAGGAGCTAGAAATTTTACTAAGGATGTCCAAATATAATGGTGTGTGGTTGTCAAAATAAATTTTATTAAGGGTGTCAAAAAATAATTGGGTGTGACTGTCAGAATAAAACAAAATAATATTGTTCTATTTATGGTTTGAACCTAGAACTCCGTCATTCAAATGGACACCCATTACAACTAAGCGAAAGACATAACTTTTGTCAAGTGTGTCCAACTTTAAATATATATCCTTTAAATGTAGAATTTGACATATATATACAACGTAATTTCCAACGAAAGGATAGTTATAGCTACGCCACTAGTAAATATTATACACATTAATTATTTCAAAAGTCAGTGAGATTAATAAGAAAAGCAATTGGGTAAATAGCTACTACATACATAAAAAAGAAAAGTTTTTTTTTTTTTTATTTCTTAATTAGTAACATGCACAACACAAATTTAAGATTTTCTCAAAATCCATATTTTTGTTTTTACACAATAAGTCCACTTACGCTCCCATTAATTAAAATTAGAACTTAAACTCCTCTTTTAGGAAAGTTCAAATTCCATTCCTAATACTAATAGAAGATAGTAATTGGAGTAAAATGCTAAATCCATCTGCATCAAACAAAGAAATATAAGTTAGATTGCATCTCTATTTTTAAATAATTTCATAACTCATAAGCAATTTTCAAATTCCAAATGATCTAATAAAAAAGAGCAAAATAAAATAAATAGGAGTAGAAAAATATTTATTTCACGTTAAAGGGTAAATATAATGACCTTTTAAAAATTATACTCCATTCAGCACTACACGCTCCTTGATGCAGATGTCATAATGTGAAAACTTTTGCAAATGCCAAGTAAAAAGCAATCACACATGGGATTCAAAAGTGTAATCTATTCACTAATAAAAAAAAACAGACAAATTTTGTCAGTATAGAAATGAATATATATTTAGATATGCTAGGAAGATTGACACCTACAAATAAGCCCAACTTGATATAATCCACACTAAATAGCAATTAGAATTGTTCTGGTGAGGTAAAGCTTTTGTCTTTTTATATCCTAATTTTGACATGGCAATGCACATTAAAACTGGAGAAATTGAAAAGCCAAAGGTCTGGCTACTAATTAGCATTACGCGGGTGAAGCAGTTACTTGGGCTTTATTGGAAATTATTATTATGTGGGCTTACGGTATTTTTTTTTTTTGGCAAATTACAGAAATCACATACTTTTAAGGCAAAATTACAATCTATCCCTTAAAAGTTTATAATTATAGAAATCTCTCAAACGGATACAATAATATAAGCATTGATACATTAATCTGATGCGCGAGATACAATAATATAAGTGCTGATACATGCGCGAGATACAATAATATAAGCGATGATACATTAATTTGATGCGCAAGATACAATAATATAAGCGTTGATACATCAATATGATGCGTGAGATATAATAATAGAAGCGTTGATACACTAATCTAATGCGCGAAAATGAGGAATTTTGGAGATTTGTAAAACTTATAAGAGATAATGGTAATAAGTAAAGTAAAAGGTGGGATTTCTATATTTTTTTTATTTTTTTTTGTTATAGGCTTTAATAACATAACTGTTAGGCATTAACATTACCGTTAGTAAACATTTATTTTGTTAGGTTTTTCTTAAACTATTTAATTAGTACAATATTATGGATTAAAAAAATGAAAAGAATGAGAAAAAAATAAATAGGAATGCTGGTCATTGGAGGGTGCCACATCAGCGATTCTAGATTCATATATATATATATATATATATATATATATGTAGATTTAGTTTCCAACTTTAAACTTCTTAGATTTGGCTCTTATCTATTACACTTTCTCTCCCGAAAGATTCAAATATATATCTAAATGAAAGACATGTATTTTATTTAATTTTGAAAATCAAAATTTTATCAAAATCATAGTTAAGTCAACAAATTTAAATATAAAAATATAATATGAAATTACATATATTAATAGGATATCAAAATTTTCAAGGATCTTGTTCTTACCAAAGTTGGAGGTAGTCTTCTGCAATTAGTTGACTTATTATTTATTTATTTTAAAATAAATTTTATTAACTCAATCATGGTTATGATTAGGGGTGTACAAGTCAAACCGAACCGACGAACCAAATTAAACCGAAAAAAAAAACCGATTTGTGGTTTGGTTTGGTTGGTGTGGCGGTTGAAAAAAAAATGGACCACTCTTGGTTTGGTTTGATACTAAAAGAAAAAAAGTCAAACCGAACCCAAACCAAACCGACATATTTAATTATTTGGGCATGTAAAATTTTGTAAATATTATATATATAATTTTATTTTATATATAGATAAAAAATATTATTTATAGTCTACTTTGTTAATATATTTTAGTTAGTTTATAGTTTTCAATGTTTATATATTTTATTTCAAATTTGTTCTTGTAAACTTTGTAAATATTTTATTTTGTATTAAGATCCGAAGTTACAATTATATTGTTATAGTTTTTCAAATTCGAAGTTAACAATTTACTTTGTAAATATTTCATTTTGTATTCAGTTTGACTGTATCCTTTAATCTTATTAATTTAACATAATGAACGTTGATATTTC